TTTCCTTACCAACTTCTAAAGGCTTTAATCATTGTTTGACTATAATCGATCATTGTTTGACTATAATCGATCGTTTTACGAGTTTTCCAGAAGCACTTCCCTTGGAAAACGGTGCAGCAGATACTACCGTATGCACTATTCGCCCACTGGATCGCTCGGTACGGTGTACCAAAACGAATAACATCCGATCAAGGACGACAACTTGAATCAAAACTTTTTAACTCACTGTCGCAGATCCTTGGTATCAAACATCTAAAGACTTCTCCATGTCATCCGCAATCAAATCGCTTAGTCGAACGTTTTCATCGCCAACTCAAATCTGCACTCCTTTGCCATCGAGAAACTTGGCTAGACGCTCTTCCGGTGGTACTACTTGGCCTTCGAACAGCATGGAAAGAAGACATGCGCACAACGGCAGTCGAACTCGTTTATGGAGAACCAATACGTTTGACTAGAGAATTCATTGCTCCTTCAAACAATCAAACAACAACAGCCGAACTATTAAAGAATTTAATACAACATTTCAAAAATTTAGCACCACCAGAAACGTCAAGAAACGGAAAGAGATCAATTTTTTATTTTAAAGACCTAAACACCTGTTCTCATGTTTTGGTACGAAATGATCATATAGAAATTTCATTCTCATTGCCCTCGTCACGACAAATATTTCGTTATAGACTACCGAGGCAACCCAACCTCTACTTCAGTGGATAGACTTATACCAGTATCCGTAGCCGACAGCGACGTAAACAAACTAGAATTCTTTACAGCAATTAATTCTTTTAGAATTAAGTTTAGTGATAATAGCACCTATATTCCAAATTAATGTATAAACTTTAAATTCCTTAATTTTTTAAGAAGGGGAGTATTGTAGCGATTAGCATCTCTCCAAATTGTAATAGATCCACTTACTAACTATTTATAACACTGTAACTACTTAACTACTTTCATCTGGTAACCCTGTATTCAGCAAACTAAAATATTTAAACCCGTTATAATATTGATCACCTCATATTAGCTTCTCTAATTCGTCTATATCGGTGTCTGGAATCGTAAAAAGTTTTATTAATAGGCTGGAATTCGAATCTTGAAAGTCTTTGAGCTCTGAGTGTCCGTAAGTTTGACGAAGTCGATAGTGTTAGGAGTATGTAAGTATGTAGTCAATATGAGGCATTGTATCTGCTACTATGCTTTCTTCACCGGGGATGTATCGAATGTCTATTGTAAATTGTGCGATAAAATCAAAATGATGCATTTGACGCGGGGATGCCTTTTCAAGCTATTAGCTTGGTATCCAGCTCTCAAGTAATTGCTCACGAAAGAAAATTCATTATTTCTCAAGTAATTTTGACAGCTAGTTACGCATTGTGAATGATCTACAATAGAAGAGCAAGAGAGAATAAA